TGATACAGTGCCTTTTGTTCGCAATTTGCTTTTTGTCTGACAATGTTTATTGTCCGAAACATTTTGTTTTTGTCAGTTACCTTTGCTTTTTGTTCGTCGGTTTTTGTCCAATTGCTTTTTGTCCGAATATTGTGCATTTTGTCCCCAACTTTTGCCTTTTTTTTCCAATTTGTTTTTGTCCGAAAATTTTGCTTTATATCCGACACTTTTGATTTACAATACTGTGGTATTAATATATTAATTCATTCAAGACTTTTATTTTGCTTTACATTTATATGAAAGGAGCATTAAGTGTTTCACAATTGTCTGTCTATGTAGGGTTTATATAAAGGCTTTACCTGTTCTGCAATTACCATTTTTTAATTATCATAGATCCAATACTAGAAATAGTCTGTATATTTCATCACCGCAGTAACTTTTTTTACCAAACCAGACATGTGGTCATCGTAATCAAGTGTAATCAATTACATTTTTGCAATAATTGCATTACATGTATGTTTCATTTGAATGCGTAATTTTGATAGGTTGACAACAAACATGAGGCACTCACTCCAATGTAATATTTTATAATACAACAGCTATGACTGAACTTGATATCCGTGACAATGTTAACTTACTGCACTGAAAAAACAAAGGAAACGCGTGATATTTCTCTTAATTCGTAAAAGCTATGATCGTGTGCACATTTTTACTATGGAGCGCTTCATTAAAAATGTGCTCTGGTCAACGCTTTTACACCCCAAATAAAATTATGAAAAGAAGCATTCAATTCTAAAATGTAATCAAATGTAATCAGTAATCATAAATTTTTTAATTACAATTTGTCGTAATTTAATCGATTTCACTACCAAAAAAGTTGCAATCAGGATAAATATTATATATAAAACGGAAAATACATCGGGATATAGATATTAAAAATTGGTCAAAACCTTTACTTAGAACTATCACAAATAAAAAGATTTATCATGGAATTATGATTACAAGTACAGAAATTTTATAAAAAGTGGTAAAATATTTCTCTTTTGGCTTAAATGACAAATTAATAAAGGACCTTCTTCGTAGTCTCGTGGTATCGTGCTCGCCTCGAGTGTGCAAGGTCGTGATCCGTTCCCAGCGTGAGTCAAACCAAAGACTTAAAAATCGGTTTTTGCTGCTTCTTCGGTAAGCCCGCAGCAATTAGAAGTAAGAGCAAAGCCTGGTCGGCTCGGTGTCTAAATAATGTGCATTTCTTCCTGCGGATAATAAGCTTTTGAACTAGCACAATGAAAATCCCGCTAAGCATGACGTAATAGTACAAACGAGGGCAGCATTCATATCGCAATAAAAAGTTCTTGTCCTTAATATGCATTTAATTTCCGGCTGGACGTTTAACAGACATACATCATCATACAATTATACTGTTGTTGTTCAATCGCTGCCATTTGTATAGACATTCCAACGAAATTTGAAAGGTTAAATAAAGGAAAGCGAAATAAAAAATGTTGATAGCATTTTGCATCAAAAATACATGCTGACTATTCCAAATGTATCATTCTGTGACTTTACAAAGATTTTGAATATCATAAAAGCATCCAATTTTCATTTTAGTTTTTTGTTATATTGTTTTTTTTTTTTTGCCTTGGAGCCTGTAACAGAGAGAGCAACAACCAAATTAAAACAATCGTATACCACTTTCCGAAACTTGCATACATTCTGAAACATTGTTACTCTTACAACAAAGAAAAAAGAATGAAAGCAATAAATACGATGATCGGATATCTGATTTTTTCATGCGTTCTCTTTCAATAGCATCAGGCACAAGTGGTTACTTTTTGATAACTCTTAAGCAAATTGTGTGTGTTATACAAAATGATTTAACGGCTACATCACTGTAAGAAATTCCAATTCTCTAGGGTAGTTTTTTATTACTGACTTTATCTAAAAAATTATTATAATTATTTTTGTAAATGAGCATTAGTATATATAATTTAAAGAACAACAAAAATGTGTCCATAGTACACGGATGCGCCACTCGCACTTTCATTTTCTATTTCAGTGGACCGTGAAATTGGGGTCAAAACTCTAATTTGGCATTAAAATTAGAAAGATCATATCATAGGAAACATGTGTACTAAGTTTCAAGTTGATTGGACTTCAACTTCATCAAAAACTACCTTGACCAAAAACTTAAACCTGAAACCCCAAATCTTTAAAAGTGGGGCATAAAAATGAACACGTACAGTGTCAAGTTGGGTTTTTTTTTTTTGGAAGCCTGTTAACGTCATGGTATTGCTAAATTTCAAGTCGTTTTGACTTAGTAGCTCCTTATAACAAATTAGTAACTCGTTATAACATCTAGGCAACTCGTTAAAATGACTAAAATAATTTAAATAAAAAAAAAAAAAGAAAAAAAAATGAATAAAAAATGATGATATCGAATGTTGAAAAAAAAATTAAAAACAAATAAAAATTTTGGAATTCGTTTTTAAATGTTAAATGTTGAAATTGAATGTTGACTGTTGAAAACGAATGTTGAATGTTGAAAACGAATGTTGAATGTTGAAATCGAATGTTGAATGTTGAAAACGAATGTTGAATGTTGAAAACGAATGTTGAATGTTGAAAACAAATGTTGAATGTTGAAATACGAATGTTGAAAACTAATGTTGAATGTTCAAAAAAGAATATTGAATAATGAAAAACAAATGTTGAATGTTGAAAACGAATGTTTAATGTTGCAATCAAATGTTGAATATTGAAATACGAATATTGAAAACGAATGTTGAATGTTGAAAACTTGAATGTTGAAATCGAATGTTAAAAAAAAAAAAAATTGAATGTTGAATGTTGAAAACGAATGTTGAATTTTGAAAAATAAATGTTGACTGTTGAAATCGAATGTTGAATGTTGAAAACGAATGTTGAATGTTGAAAATCGAATGTTGAATGTTGAAATCGAATGTTGAATATTGAAATACGAATGTTGAAAACGAATGTTGAATGTTTAAAAACTAATGTGGAATGTAGAAATCGAATGTTTCAAAAAAAAAAAAAAAATAAAAAAAAAAAAATAAAAAAAAAAAATTTGAATGTTGAATGTTGAAATCAAATGTTGAATATTAAAATACGAATGTTGAAAACGAATGTTGAAGTTGAAAAAACGAATGTCGAATGTTGAAATCAAATGTTGAAAAAAAAATTAAATGTTGAATGTTGAAAACGAACGTTGGAAAAAAAAATTTGAAAAAGAAAAAATATTTAACAAAAAAAAAATTTTTTGAATGTTAAATGTTGAATGTTGAATATTGAACCAACTTGACATCCGTGCGTGAAAGCTGAAATGTATATATCGATCAAGTAAAGAAACATACACACTGTTATAGGGAGAAAAGCATTTTATTGTAGTGCTTGATACTGAAAAATAGTTCATTTAAGGATTCGGAAAGGTATTCCAAACTATAATAAAATATTTATCATCACAAGGGTTTCTTATCCTTTGAGGAAATCTCTGAAAGTGGGTGTTTTGTCCAATCTTCACGGCAAATATGTTGCTGTTCCAGCAGCTAAAGCATAAAAAAACATTGTTTTGATGTGCAGAATTGTCAACCAAAGATATTGGAATTCCCATAGAGTCTGATAATACCACTGTAACACAATCTGCTTTTACGATTGGAGAGATTTTAGAAAATAACAATTTCGGTCTCTTTTACTTTTGTTTCAACATAGAAAAAGAACATTGAAAAGCTCTATCTTAATATTGGATACAAATACTGCACAAAAATAAACAGCGAAGTATATAGAAAACAACAAAAAACAAAATGACATAATCAAAGCTTGTTTTGTAAACAACCATGGATGAGTTTAAGTTGTCGGAAAGATATTATGCATGTTGTTATTGATTCACCAAAGAATTCATGAAAGCAATTATAATAAAAAGATAGATGCCTGTCTCAAAGATTAATGAAAACTTCTTGATCGTATGACAAATTCGTTTTCCAATTAATTCAAAATTGCGGACTTCATTACGCAAGAATTGCGTCAGTAGGATTAAGTCGTAGACAGTTTAAAGTCGATGATACAAAAAATACTTATAGGAAGACCAATTCGAAATATGTGTTCTGTCCTATTAACAATAGACATATTTTCGCAGGTCTTAATTTTAATAGCACCTTAATTCACCGTCCGATTTATTTCTGGGGTTTGTGTTGCATATGTTGTAGTTTTGGGTGTAGCTCTTTCTAAATGGCACCGAAATGACAAATGTAAAACAATTCAAACGAGAAAACAAATCGCTACACAGCAACACACCACGACAATCACTGAATTACAGGCTGCTGACTTTGGACAGCCGTATACAAAATGTGGCCTGGTTAAACATGTTTGCGAGTGCCCAACACATACCCTACATTTGACAGTGTTGTAAAGCACAACATAAAGACAAAATATAAACATCAGTTGAAAAAGGCTCGACTCATCAAGTCGACACAAAAAAAACATAAATCATCTAACAATAGGACTTAAGACACAAAGTACAGATCTAGTAGTACTTGCAGTTACTGAAAGCTAGTTCAAATCCAATAAAAACTAACAAAAAAGCAAGTATCTAAGACTAGAAAATCAATCAGTACATACCCAATGCATTTAGTGTAAAGACCTCATAAACAGTGACCTTGTGCAATGCTAAATATAGGTATCGACAGAATGAAGGACCGTAAATGTTCATAGCGTCTTTTGATGTTTTTTGTTTAAAAAAAATGTGATATCCCACAGAAAGGGTATGATGATAGTTTTTACTGTAATGCAAAACGTTTTTGGTAGTTATGCGCTTGATAATTTATCAAAATCTTTCTGAAATAAGTTTACATGTTTGGGCTAGAATTTTGGTCTCGTTAAAGAAGTAAAAGAGTGTCATTATGCCGCTACCATATTCCGATAACATGTGATGAGAGCCTCTTTGAAGATGAGATAAACCGCATTTTCACGATATTCTACATTTTCATTTTTTCATTTTTTTTTTACAGGATACCAATACCAAATCGAGTTAAGCACACCAGATTCTGGTCCTGTCTCAATTATAGACGGTTTCACTTATATAGATCATATCAAATACTTGAATAAGTATGGACACTCTGGAAATTCCCTCATATTCAAATTTAGTTGTGACGGTGCTCGAATAATATTACTAGAAACCACCAGCAAGTCGACAGATCAAGGAATATATGAAATTGTCTTGTATCCTAAATCACGTCCAGAAAAAATTGTTGTGCGTCGTAACAAAGATGGCGTTATTGAAGATCTTGTAAGCAGCTTAATTCCAGGACTACTTGAACATGTTGATTGTCCTAACTTTCATCCAATCTGGATAGCATGGGCAAATGGATTTTTTAGCCTCGGGAAGGGGCTATCTCTTTATGTGAATAAAGTCCACAACTGGACAGATCCGGAGCCTTTTGTCATAACGTCAACCGGGATAATGACGTCATATGGTGCTTCTGGGAAGTGGATAATTTACATTGAAGGTAAATCGATTTAGTATATGTATTTTTTATACAGCTTGTTTCATTCGAATACAATAAAATCCTGCATAGGGGGTATATAAAATACTAAATTACTTCTTTCACGTTTTCTCGTTTTGACATCATTGTTCCAATCCAGCAGCCTCGTCAAGTGCTGTCTTTTTTTTAAATATTGAAGAATTCTATTAGTCCTTTAAATGTTTCGAGCTAATGGAACATATTTGGTATTACCTTTGGTTTTTCGCAGAACTCTGTTTTTTTTACAGGTTGGCAAATGGTGAAGGTACCTGGTGATCCAGTGATGGTTATTATCTTATATGCAATGAAATATTATGTGAAATTTAGTCTGTAGTACTAGACAGGATAAAACTTTACTCGTGCCAAGTATTTCTTTATTTGAAACAAAGATATATTCTGCACAATTTTTTGAAAAGTGCAAAGGAGTAGGTCCAGTAAGACCCCTTTTTGGCCCCAAAATATAGCAGTTTTACAAAATTGTTAAAATGTAAACTTTAAGTTATTTATTGGTAAGAAGAATACTCCTGCTACATAAATATGGGCTGTTTTTGACAATACAATGCACTTATATCAGGTACTAGCATCCTTTAGTCAGGCTAAATTACTGAAATCTTCACAATTTTGGCATTTTAGTTAAATTTTAGACGGTTTCCGTCTAAAATGAAAGTGGCCGCATTTGTGTTCATTCTTAATATTGAAATGTAAGTTGTATTTGATGATAATACATAACATATATAAAGGTTGAGGATGAACACGGATGCGGCCACTTACATTTTTGACAAAAACCATCTGAAAAGTGACATTTTTTGCACATTTGATAAATTTTTCTCATAAAGCTTGAATCGGAGCGTTTTAATGACTAAATCAGTTAAAATCTTTCACATAAACTAATAGAATCAACTGAAATAGACACTTAAGTGTTCAAAAAGTGTCCAAAATCCTTCGTCATATGAACCTGAAATTTGAGGCCAAAATCGGCCCTTACCGGACCTACTCCTTTAACAAAGACTAATAGGGGAAAAACAATGTCGGTATTACACCTATTAAGTCTTGAAGCTTTAAAAAAAGTCTTCCTCGAAAATTTTTGACCTTATTTCATAGAATATTAATTTAGAAGTCGATCTTTTATTCCACCTTGATTTAACGTTTTGAGCCATTTCAAATCAAATTTTCGTCATTCAAATCTTTTATCTATATATCTAACTCAGATATTCAGATCATCAGGAACCATCAGTTTCTCATTCCAAAATATATCTTTAACCTCACTTTGTATATTTTGGAATGTGCTACAGTTATCAACCTAGCGAAGCTGAAAGCATGCCTTCTTTTGGGTTTTTGCCTATATGTACTACACCGTTTTCTCTCAAGCAGCGGGTACCTAATGCACATCAACATAGTAATTGTAATTTCTGACAATTTTGTGGATTTTGTAGTAGTGGCTTGGGTTGTTGTTTAAAGTCTGTGAAATCAGAACATGCAAAAGAGTAATGAATATATTGAGATTTGTTAACACCATAAAATGTTGCAATGTATATGTTACAACGATGAAATAAGAAGTTGATAGTGGGGAAACTAAAATCATCACGTTTTTCAAGGAGTCTAGCTTGGTGAAGTCCATCTATGCTAATTTTAAGAAAAAGATCAAGACACGAAGCAGACCTTCAGTTACATATTTGATAGCAAGTTCACTTGGATTTTTGAGATTCTAGTTATCATATAAACAGTGGCACTCATACCACATCTTTTTATATCTATAAATACTTCTCGTGTTATAACAGTAAAAATGAAACTACAACTATCATAAAGGTTTTTTTCTTATTGTTTGTTGCGGTCTTTTCTTTATTATACTTCTGTTTTTGTTTTTCGTTTTCGTGCCAGTAGAGTATTTGCAATCAATTTTTGTTTAAATCAATCCGTGATATGTACCTTCGTTCTTTTGTAGAGGCGTATCTGTCATATTCACAATTTACAAGACAAAAGACAATGAAGGACTGGACTAAGGAACGCCAAAACTGTCTTGTTATACCCATTTTCATTATATGATGTGCATTTACCTTTATACGATGTGCAAACATCCTTATATGATGTGCAAATATACTTATTTGATGTGCAAATATACTTATATGATGTGCAAATATACATATATGATGTGCAAATATACTTATATGATGGGCAAATATCCTTATATGATGTGCAAATGTACTTATATGATATGCAAAAATCCTTATATGATGTGGAAATATTCTTATATGATGTGCATTTTCCCTTATATTATGTGCAAACATCTTTATATGCTGTGGTTGTGTCATTATATTATGTTCTTGTAGCATTATATGATGTGGTTCGGTTTACTTCATTATATGATGTCAAAACGTCCTTATATGATGTGCTTTCATTGTTGTTATGGTCAATGAACATGATTACGATTAGAAAATGGTTGAGATTTCAAAAGAGATAAACATTGGCACGTTGGTACCTCGTTTTAAAGATGAAAAAATAACATCTTATATAATCGTTGGAGAATTGTGAAAATATGAATTGCAAAGTTTAGGTTTTATCGATGGGTCTACAATAATTAACATATGGTTAAAGTTAATAAATTATGGGTCCTCGACTGTGTATTGAGCACCTGGAGTTCAAATATTTTATCTACCAGAGGATATTCTGCATTTTAGTTTTGAATGCCAGTTTACTGTTTCTGATCTAGCAGCTACAGCCTCGTATCAGCTTCCGAAAGTGCATTTTATAGAAAAAATGAGACAGTGCAATTAAACAAAAATTAATGTTTCAAACATTTCGGAAGAAGATTTAAATCAATTAATACTGGAGCTAGTTGAAGAATTTCCCGGCTGCGGCAAAAATATGATAAAACAACTTTTATTGCAAGACACCAATTTAAAAATCACATTCGTTTTAAAAGTATCTCCTAACAATAGCTATAAAATTATCTACTCATGGATTATTAAACCGGTATGGATGATTGATTGATTGATTGATTATTTGGTTGATTGATTGGCGTTTGACGCCACTTTCAACAGTATCGTGCTATTTCGAGGCGGTCAATTTATATTGGTGGAGGAAGCCGTAGTGCCTGGAGAGAACAACCAACCTTCGGTAGGAAAACTGACAATTCTAGTCAATTAAGATTGGAGTCGAGCTTACCTGCCATCTTGTGCGGGACTCGAACTCACAACCTAAGTTTTGACAGGCTAGTGATACAGTAGTTCTATCTACTTAGACCACTCGGCCACCGAGCCTGCCCCCCCCCCCCCCCCCCCCCCCCCCCCCCCCCCCGGTATGGATGAAAGGAGATATGGGCTGAACTTCAACTCGGTGGATTACATTTGCGCGCAGCTATTTATTAAGTTTTCGTGCATTTATTTTACAGCTTCAACTAGATGATGATGGATGGATGCTTAACGTACAGCGGCAAATTAATATTCATATTCAGGACAAGTACATGTTAATGTAATATGAATATTTACCCTGCTTTGTACTAGACCGACCTGCTGAGCCGGATTTTTAACGTGCCAGTTCGCAAGGCACCACTCCACAGGCAGACATGTCACCTTACCCGGACACATTATTCTGATTCCGAGCCGAACAGTCTTTGCTCTTACTCCTCAATGCCGCGTGCTTAGCGGGGAAGCAAAAAATACCAATTTTACAGTCTTTAGTCGGCCGGTATTCAAACCAATGACCTCCCGCGCTCGAGGCGAACATGCTACCGCGAAACCACCGAGTCGGTGCTTCAACTACACAGTAACCCGCAATATAAACGGTTTCGTGGGAAGCCGCTCATATATACACCCCCAGACTCAAGGAATCGAACTGTAAACAGGTCTAAGGTACTGACCATTCATCTCTTTTTTTTGGGGGGTGGGGCATTTTTTTTTTAGATGTTTGATTCCAAATTTCTTGAAAAAGACTTTGTTTATTTCAGAAGGAAGCTAACAAAAAAGTTTGTTTCCATTGAAAATGAGGGAAAAAATAAAACAATAATGAAATTAAATAATTAACCTTGTTATTGAAATAAAAGTTTATTTTTTATAAGTCGAAAAGTATGTTTGTCCTGAGCACAAGGAAATACACATGCTCCCGCCCACAAAAGATGAATAGTCGGTGCCTAACCAATCTGATTAAGATATAGATCCTCTGTCTAAGCTTTGGTTACAAGGATCTGACACCACTCCATTTTACTTTCTGTTCTGGTAATTATTACATCAGCCGATGAAATTTCATCCTTCAAATTTTGAAGGTGTGTATCGATCCGACAAAACCAGAGAATCACAAATGGTCTTTAAAACAGAAAATAGAATGGAGCGTTTTCAGATCCTTGTAAGCAAAGCTTGGACACACAAGATCTGTATTTTATTCAGATTGGTGTCTTAAAAGAAAATAAAAAGTCTTTATTAATTTATTGTTTACTGAGGCCTGTTGGTCTCATACAGATAAAGAGTTGTGTTGTTTTTTTAAAGTGAAGCGCTGCAGAAGTAAAATCAAGCGCTATAGATTTGAAGTCAAGCGCTGTAGATATAAATTTCCTTTACATATCCAGCGCTGGACTTTACATCTCAAGACCAACAAGGCTCTGTAATTATTAAAGCTTGAGGATTGATGATGTTAAAAATACCTTTTTAGCTCACCTGGCACAAAGGGCCAAGTGAGCTTTTCTCATCACTTGGCGTCCGTCGTCCGGCGTCCGGCGTCCTGCGTCCGTCTTCCGTAAACTTTTACAAAAATCTTCTCCTCTGAAACTACTTGGCCAAATTTGACCAAACTTGGCCACAATCATTATTAGGGTATCTATTTTAAAAAATGTGTCCGGTGACTCGGCCAACCAACCAAGATGGCCGCCATGGCTAAAAATAGAACATAGGGGTAAAATGTAGATTTTGGCTTATATCTCTGAAACCAAAGCATTTAGAGCAATTGACTGGGTAAAATTGTTTATCAGGTCAAGATCTATCTGCCTTGAAATATTC